GCATTTTGAATTCAACATCGACAGTTGTGCCCCCATTAAGTCAGTCTACCTCTATCTGTACCCCCAGTCTCGGGAGGCTGGCACCCCCATTACTTTTAGTCATTTAATTATACAGAAACTCAGATATGACTGGATAATAGGGACAGAAATCTGAACATGTCATCCAAATGAAGAAACTGTCAAGATCAACAAGTCTGTGGTAAATGTCACCAAATGATGGTGGTATAAAGACATGTTATTAACTCGTAAGGAAAGCCTATTATTATCTGACTGAGCTGGGCGTTATTACTGAGAATTAGTGACACAAAGACCCTGATCTATTCTTATCATACAGACTTGGTGTAATCCCCTGATCTTATAGCTATATTCCACAGATGTCAGCTAGCTTTAAAAGGATTGTAAAGAGGTTTTCTAAATTTTGTATGTATATCAGGGTCACTGATAGTATCGACTTGCATCATTCCAATTTTTAATCAGAGGTCTATGGTTCTTGCAATTCCACTAAAACAAAGTGTTTTTCAACTGATGTCAGCTAGCTTTAATCAGAAAAACAAAGTTTCAAGAATTAATGATATGTCAAGGATGTACTGTCAGTGATAGATGTCTGACAGCTTTAAAAAGAACACCAGAAAAATTTGAAATTGAAATTTATTCTTTTCACATAGGCTTCACTTCATCTCAGACCTTATAGCTATTTTCACAGATGTCAGCTAGCGTTTATAAGAACATCAGAAAAACAAAGTTCAATAATTAATATTATGCCACGGTGTACTACAGGTGATTGTATCTCACAACAGATGGTTTGATAGATGTCTGACAGCTTTGAAAAGAACACCAGAAAAACAGCGCAACCTTATGTGCAGTATGAGTTATGGGACAATATGACAATTTTGAAAGATGTTAACAAGCTTAAAAAACAACAAATATCAAAAATCGTCACACATTATCATTTTGAAAAAAAATTGAAATGAAATGAAATGAGTTTTACGTCCTACTTTTCTGTACCATGTGGTCTAGTGAAGACCGGCTGGGTACAATGAGGAAATTTGCCAGGACAGCAGCATTGGTCTGCTCTTTTTCTATTACCAAATGCAGAGAAATCTTTAAGAACAACCTGTAGCACACAGGGTCTCGGTGTATTGCCCCATCCGAACGACTAGACGCAGTAGAGGGATCCTTAACATGCACAGCTATCTATAAGCTTATTATTTTCAAACAGATATTGCAAGACCTTTATACAGTAACCTAAAATACAATTTAGAATAGAGTTAGATAATATCTAGTGCTCTAGTACTACAACTTATCTACTGTATTAATTCTCACAGCCACTTCTGTTCTTCTGGCCTTGACATTTAATCAATATGCTGATATAAACAGTGGCGGGCTCCAACCTCCTGAGACAGGTGGTACAAACAGAGGGCAGACTGATTTAATAGGGGGACAACAGTTGAGGCTGAAGCGCTGTAAGTCTCCCAAAGAGAGTCTGAGAGGGTTTCTCCCTAGAAAATTTACGAAAATAAAATTGATTTTGTGCATTCTGACATATATTGGGACGAAAATGTATGAAATTCAGATTTCTAAATTTGCTAGAACTTAGGTAGAACTTCAAATGGGGGTACAAACCATTTTTCTAGAGGGGAGTGGGAGGGAGGGATATACCCCATGTACCCCTACTGTCACTACCACTGGATATAAACTGATATTAAACTGATATTAAACCCTGTTTCAACTGGAACATTAAAAATTATTCCTATTTTATCATCTCTAAGTTACAAATTCCAACAAACCACACGACATCAAAATGAAAAGAACATTAAGACATTTCAAGACAGCTAATAACGATTTTATTTTATTGAAGACAGAAATAATTCTATTCCAAAGAAAATATCTCAAACACGAGGCGGAATTACAAAATTAACACTTCTAAATGTCACAACAAAACAGTTCTCTATGAAACTACAAAGAGAGAAGAAAAACTATTTACAACAAAACAACCCAACCCAAGGTCAAAGCTACATGAAACGAAAATAAATTCTGTTAGAAAGGGTCACAAATGCAAAACACATCAGAGCTTAAAAACATCCATGATAATTTGCAAGGCTGTAGGGGGTTTGAGTGATATGGGGCAGTTGTAGGGCTGGGCTATATACCACCATATAAATACGCGTATAGGAATTAACAAGAGGAGGGCCAGTGTGTAGGAGGCAACCATTTTGAACATCAAATCACATCAACATTAGATTATTTTTAAAATATTGATTCCTTAACAAAATACAGGCAGGCGAACAAATTGAATCCCAGGCGTAATCTAATATACTTGCTGGACTGATAAAAACAATTAATGGGCAAGTAAATCAAGGGAAACAACTCTTGTTTGTCATTAATTACATTGAAGCAGTTAACATACAGACTCAGACCACTATAATATTCTCCACGACGATTGCAAGAAATACATCCCCTTCCCTTCATTTTTTTATTTTTGTGTATTTTTTGGTCTACATTTGGATTTGGGAGAACATGAAAATCTTTAGATGCGGACAAATTAGTGTGATAGAAGTCGTATTCGGTACAGGAAGATGTCTATATCAAGCAGTGATCTACTTTCATTTTCTCTTACTCTCTAATTTCTAGAGTCATGATGTACTGAATTTTTGAGGAGATAATAATAAGAAAGTGATTAAATGTGACCGTCTACACTACAATTAATCAAGTGGCTGGAGAACAGTTTTTAAATCGCAGTGTTAGGGTGTTACGAGAATAGAATTCACATAAAAACATGGGCCTAGTGTAATTCAAAACTGTTCTAGAAACAATTATCTATGGAACTCTTCTTGAAGAAGTTGAATATAGTCCAGTCACCTGGGTGTAAACAGCAACAGCACTGATTAATTACAAAATTCTGTGGGGTGAAGGTTGATTTATTGGGAATGCACCATACCGTTTACTTTACACCAATGTAACTGTTCCAAGACCACCTCCTTTGAACGGTTCTCAGATAAAACATAACATTACACAAAATTTATCTGTTTATCCGATAATTTTGTGTGATGTACAAGGGGTTAAAAGGGACAGATTTAAGACTAAAAATACTATTTTGAGGATAATATTCCAATTCTCTTTAATATCAAGACAAAATTAAAAAGAAACTTTTAGCTTTGCTCAGACAACAGGTCCAGGGTGGTTTGAATCGATACATCATGGTCTTTTATAATTGATATTCAACATCATTTTAAATGTTAATGACAGTGTAAAATGTTGAAACATTGTATTGGAGTCTGTCTCTACCATAAAAAGTAAAGAATGGTAAGAGAAAACATGTAGAAAACATAGAAAGCTAAATCTGATAAAAGCTTATAGCATAAATACATAGAAAATAGAAATATTAGAAGAGAGTATATATCTATATCAACACAAACAAAACATCATACTTTTGACTTTTTTATGAAATAGAAAATCAGAATTTACAGGAAAAACTGACAAAAATGAAAAGTAATATGACTATATCATTAGTACAATAAAAACTATTGTACAAGCTTGCCATTTGCAGAAAATATAATTACATAAATAAAACACACACAGGTAAATATTGCACACATAGATAGACAAATTGGATGTCTAGATTTAAAGAAAAATATAAAAACATTTCTCTACCTGAACTAATCCGTCAGCTCTCATCCCTTGGAAGTGCTAAATAAGGTAAAATATCAGTTGAATGCTTGAACAATGTTGAACAATGTAGAACAATGTTGAATAATGTCAGTGAATTTCAATGTAGTAATATTCAAACACATTAATAATAAAAAAAACACTGGCAGCAGAAGAGAATGTCAGGGAGACCTGTAGAGAGAGTTGGAGAATAGATCGTTAGTTCTACAGAGTTATTATCTTTTAATTTCCCTTACAGCAGTATTTCACAACTTCTGATTGACATTCTACTTTCTGACACTTCTACAGTAAATAGACATTCTGTCGTTTATTAGAGTTTCTACCTCAATTATTAACATCAAAAACACTTCACATAGTGAGAAGATCAAGAAATCAAAAAATATCTTTAAAATTATGCTTTAGAAGCTAGAAATTGTTGGCTATTAAAGCTTTTTTGTGAATTATTAACATCAAAAACACTTCAAATAGTGAGAAAATCCAACAATATTTTTAAAAAGTGCTTCAGACATTAGAATCCTTTAGCAACCTTTCTATGAATTATTAACATCAAAACAGTTCTATTTGTGAGATGATTAAGAAATGATGACTGTTAATTTCACTTTTCAAAGAATATTTTCTAATTTATGATAAATAGAAATTAGAAATTGTTAGATATAACAGATTTTCTGTGAATTACTGTTGATAGAGAAAATTGTCAACAAAATAATATTTTAAACAGTAATCAAGAACTTATGTCGATTCCAGTTTGCTCAAGGAAAATTTTGTCAAGAGTAAAACAAGATTTAAAGGGATTGTAAAGAGGATTTTTAGATTAGCATGTGTATCGGAGACACTGATATCATCAAGTAGCACCATTCCAATTTTCAATTAGATGTCTTTGGTTCCTGCAATTTCCAAAAAAATAAGACGTTATTCATTGCAAAATTTGGTTTATCACACATACGAGGCCTTCGCAATTAGTGACTTTATCAAACGCTTAGTTTTAGTGGAACTGCCAGAACCACAGACGTCTGATTGAAAATTGGAATGGTGCAAATTGATGTTATCAGTGTCCCTGAATCTCTTCAATATAACCACTATTCTGAGAAACCACAATGTCACAATGTCATCTTAAACTAAGAATAATGTTTTAAATTCCAATTCTGTCTGTCAAATATATACCTAACGTAAACACTGCTTAATAAGACTCAAACCTGAACCCAGACCACTGATATCAGCTGTATTTAACAGTATTTATATTTATTCAGCTGTATTTAACAGTATTTATATTTATTCAGCTGTATTTAACAGTATTCATATTTATTCAGCTGTATTTAACAGTATTTATATTTATTCAGCTGTATTTAACAGTATTTATATTTATTCAGCTGTATTTAACAGTATTCATATTTATTCAGCTGTATTTAACAGTATTTATATTTATTCAGCTGTATTTAACAGTATTTATATTTATTCAGCTGTATTTAACAGTATTTATATTTATTCAGCTGTATTTAACAGTATTCATATTTATTCAGCTGTATTTAACAGTATTCATATTTATTCAGCTGTATTTAACAGTATTTATATTTATTCAGCTGTATTTAACAGTATTTATATTTATTCAGCTGTATTTAACAGTATTTATATTTATTCAGCTGTATTTAACAGTATTTATATTTATTCACGTTTGTATAGGCTGAAAGAAAATGCCACAGTCAAACAGATATCTTCTAATTATCACAAATATAAGACAATATTATTGAATAAAATACAATTGGTTAAAGCAAGACAATTCCTTTTATCAAAAATCTTGCTCAAATTATGGCAAAATCGAGAAAAAAAGTTGTATAGAGAAGTACCATCAGGTGTTTTCGAAAAGAATAAGCATGGTCTGCTTCGTACACCAAAAACACTTAAATAATACTAAGCACAGAAACGTGTTGAAACATTATGTGCATATCAATATTAAAGAAGTGTGTTTATTCTATAATATTGTCTTGTGTTAGTGTGTATTGAGATGAAAGCACTGGCCTAGGTCTTGTGTTTGTGATATATACTCCTCACTTCTAAATGTTGTCCAAGTCTAAATCTCTTATTCCAATTATAGCAAACTATTGACAATTATTTCAGTTAACTTCACAATCACTAACATTTTATAAAATTATAGTCTAGCAACGATAATTCTACTAATAGAATCAGATTAAAAACATAGACACGAGTAGTCCATTTTATTTTTTAGGTAGTTTTTAGTTCAACACGATATAAGTTTAGTCTGTATAGTTTCTATTACTATTTATTCTACCTATAAAGAAATAGTGGACTGCTCATATAAATGTTTTGAATCGGACCAAAATGAACAGAAATGTCTGTACTTGACTATATTTGACCAGCGAATGCCAAAAACTCTATTATTATTATTCCATAAATGTCTGTCTCTATAGACTACCTTACAGTAACACAATAGGTAAACCAAATACTAACAATCCAAACCACAATACAAAACCCAACATCCAAACAAACTACTGACGAATCATTGATAGCAGCTAATGAACTTTTCACCTGATGAAGTATATTAATTATAAGTGAGTAAGTATTTCATAATGAAAAGTGACATTATTCTATAAATTTCTGACAGTACTAACTACCTTATGTAATACAATGTTACACTATGTTATAAGAATAGGAACTGTAACTGATCAATATAGGAATAGAGACTGATATCATCATTATTATTCTAGTCAGAGACTTCATGTCATATAACTTATAATCATAACTACAGACTTTACTAACTAAAACATCATCATTTAAACAACATCCCTTATCAATAAATAGATGGGACAGTGGTTTACATTATCCAAATAGCTTCGAATGAGGCAGTGACATCAAGTTCTTGGCAAACAGATCACAAATTGAACATGTTTAGAATATTTCAATTGCATAGTAAGGAGAAACTTCACTTCACTTCACCTCAAGGTATAAGATACAGTTTGTAATAGCTTGATATTGTGAAGATGGGTCAAGGTATAAGATACAGTTTGTAATAGCTTGATATTGTGAAGATGGGTCAAGGTATAAGATACAGTTTGTAATAGCTTGATATTGTGAAGATGTGTCAAGGTATAAGATACAGTTCGTAATAGCTTGATATTGTGAAGATGTGTCAAGGTATAAGATACAGTTCGTAATAGCTTGATATTGTGAAGATGGGTCAAGGTATAAGATACAGTTCGTAATAGCTTGATATTGTGAAGATGTGTCAAGGTATAAGATACAGTTTGTAATAGCTTGATATTGTGAAGATGGGTCAAGGTATAAGATACAGTTCGTAATAGCTTGATATTGTGAAGATGGGTAGGGAGGGGTCTAAGACATTAACTCTGTTATTTGTCAAATAATTTCACCTGTGTCATCTGTCAGGTCGTTAATAAAACAATACTTCGTTAATAATCCATGCATACTAATTAGTACGTTGTCATTCTTGATAACACATCTCATGAATATTCAATTTATTCATTAATATACACGTTTATCTTATCTTCCCAAAGAAATACAAACTGTCAATTTCTGTCTGTTGATTTGACTGTATTCACTAGTCATGTCTGACTAGAGCTCTAGACTGCTGATTTGATTGTATTTACAAGTCATGTCTGACTAGAGCTCTAGACTGCTGATTTGATTGTATTTACCAGTCATGTCTGACTAGAGCTCTAGATTGCTGATTTGATTGTATTTACAAGTCATGTCTGACTAGAGCTCTAGATTGCTGATTTGATTGTATTTACAAGTCATGTCTGACTAAAGCTCTAGACTGCTGATTTGATTGTATTTACAAGTCATGTCTGACTAGAGCTCTAGACTGCTGATTTGATTGTATTTACCAGTCATGTCTGACTAGAGCTCTAGACTGCTGATTTGATTGTATTTACAAGTCATGTCTGACTAGAGCTCTAGACTGTTGATTTGATTGTATTTACCAGTCATGTCTGACTAGAGCTCTAGACTGCTGATTTGACTGTATTTACAAGTCATGTCTGACTAGAGCTCTAGACTGTTGATTTGATTGTATTTACAAGTCATGTCTGACTAGAGCTCTAGACTGTTGATTTGACTGTATTTACCAGTCATGTCTGACTAGAGCTCTAGACTGTTGATTTGACTGTATTTACCAGTCGTGTCTGACTAGAGCTCTAGACTGCTATTTGATTGTATTTACAAGTCATGTCTGACTAGAGCTCTAGACTGTTGATTTGATTGTATTTACCAGTCATATCTGACTAGAGCTCTAGATTGCTGATTTGATTGTATTTACAAGTCATATCTGACTAGAGCTCTAGACTGTTGATTTGATTGTATTTACAAGTCATGTCTGACTAGAGCTCTAGACTGTTGATTTGACTGTATTTACAAGTCATATCTGACTAGAGCTCTAGACTGTTGATTTGATTGTATTTACAAGTCAAGTCTGACTAGAGCTCTAGACTGTTGATTTGACTGTATTTACCAGTCATGTCTGACTAGAGCTCTAGACTGCCGATTTGATTGTATTTACAAGTCAAGTCTGACTAGAGGTCTAGACTGTTGATTTGACTGTATTTACCAGTCATGTCTGACTAGAGCTCTAGATTGCTGATTTGATTGTATTTACAAGTCATGTCTGACTAGAGCTCTAGACTGTTGATTTGACTGTATTTACCAGTCATGTCTGACTAGAGCTCTAGATTACTGATTTGATTGTATTTACCAGTCATGTCTGACTAGAGCTCTAGACTGTTGATTTGATTGTATTTACAAGTCATGTCTGACTAGAGCTCTAGACTGTTGATTTAACTGTATTTACCAGTCATGTCTGACTAGAGCTCTAGATTGCTGATTTTACTGTATTTAGCAGTCATGTCTGACTAGAGCTCTAGACTGTTGATTTGACTGTATTTACCAGTCATGTCTCACTAGAGCTCTAGATTGCTGATTTGATTGTATTTACCAGTCATGTCTGACTAGAGCTCTAGATTGCTGATTTTACTGTATTTAGCAGTCATGTCTGACTATTTTATGATAACTGTCAAGTCAATTTACTCCTTTAACTCTATCCAATTCTTAACATTCAACTTCAACAAAATGAATAAACAAAAAATTTTGCAACAAGAAAAATGGAATGATTAAGGCTTAAAATAAAAGACTCAATCAACAAACTAAAACAGTAATGAGTTAAAAAAAAAAGTATTTTATGTTTAATGAAATGAAACAGAGTTTTATATTCTACTCTGCTCCATTTTGAGTAAATGAAAATAGGCATAATTTATGTTATTGATGTATAAAGTAAGCAGAATTTCTTTAAAAAAAAAACCATGGCTAAAAATTGAAATAATAAGAGACGGTTAGATTATTTCACAATCTAGATAGATCTAATATCGCTATTCACATGCCTTGACTTTACTAATACTTGGTTGAATCGAGTCGACAAATGACACGATTTTACAATGATACAAATCAATACCAAATACCGTGTGTAGAAATTCAGAAGAATTAAACTGATAATTGTGTTCTAGGCCAGTCATTTTAATAAAATTAGACCAATGACATGTTTGTGGACATTGTTATCGATAAAAATACGTTTTGTTTTCATCATTAGTAAATTAGAGTCGCCATCTTACCTTGCTGTTCACTGGTAAATAACGTAGCAGACGGTGGACGTCACAATGTTCTGTTAGTTGACGCAATATCTAACCTGTGCCGTCTTGACATCAAATTATAGATTATTGATTGTGTTCATTAGTACCCGGATAATTGACGTATTTGTGGGCGGGGCTTAGCACGTGGGAAATGAATGAATGAATGGAAAACACCGAAAATATATTCCTGGAAATTGGCGTCAAAAGTGGCACAGACTTGAAAGATAGCTAGTCGTCTTTAGGCCTATCTTTATTGAAAAGAGAAGATCTATAAATTGCTATAGTCTCACAATTTATAAACACTATATGGTAGGCTTAAGCCTAAAAAAAGATAGGCTAATGCCACTACTCTGACAAAATAGCTTCATTGTCCACTGCATGACAATGGCCGCGTAGGCCTTTTAGTCGAAGAGAGTTCCAGCCTCTGACAAGATATTTTAGAAAAACTAGTCCCTGTTTAAGACCACATTACTCTATATTTCACCATAAAGACTATAATATAGGCTACTATTGTTCACAGATTTGAATAAAAGAGAGTGTCACGTGATATCGATCACTATTCAATCAATCAATCATTAATTCTCTGATCTCACTCGGTCTTCAATTTTTAATCATGGCCGCCGTATATCATGAGGTAAGAAATTTCTTAATCTTTAAATCCCCTTGTCAAAATATGTCTAGGATCTATCCAAAAAATAACCATGATAGCCCATAGCCAGACTTGATTATTCGGAGGGGCAAGTAATATATCCTAACTGAGTGCAATCTTTTAAAAATAGCTGTAAAAAATGAAATAAGGATCTATCCTTAAAATGATTGTTTGAAACCAACTGATTTTTCTAAAAAAATAAAGCATTCAGAGGCTAGCAAAGCAGCTTTTGGTATCTACTAGAGACTAGGTAAGAGTCAGCAAGTTTCTAGCTAGCTTACAACTGTCAATAATAACTATCAGAGGCTAGGTACAATAGGTACCAGTGCCCAGCAAAGCAGCCTTTGGTATCTGCTAATGATAGCTATCAGAGACTAGGTAAGAGTCAGCAAGTTTCTATCTAGCTGACAACTGTCAATAATAACTATCAGAGGCTAGGCTAGGTTTAACAACTGTCAATAGCTATCAACCCAGACATGAGTTAATATTACATGAAAAATGTAATACTATAAGTTATTAAAAACATATGAAAATGTGTTAAGTCGAGAATGGGTAGGATAAATATTTCGAGTTTTAGAGTTATGAAATTTGTAATAATATAAGAAAAGGTAACATGAAAGGTGAAAATTAAACAGTAAAGTTAATAGACGAGTGTAATAGAACTATACTGTTCATTATAAACTTATACTAATGTTTACACCTTTTATATCACACCTATATCATAACACCTAGATTATTACACCTTGGTTACTTTTATACCTCGATTGGTGTACGTAATAGTGTTATATCTAAACAGGTAGCGAAAGGGATATATCAAAATATAATATCAAACGGTCTACATGGATTCGATTAAATATTGGAACAAAATTTTAAGGCATATTACACAAATACTCCCCAATTCACCTGATGATGACAATTTAAATTGTTGAAACTCTATTATTTTGTGTGTGTATTTATATCATTTATATGTGCGATCTAATGACTCTAGGATGGTAAGGGTATATAAGTGATCTAATGTATCTAGGGTGGTATCTGTTTAGGTTTTACCCCTGATAAGTTAATGAAAACTATTGCCCTCGTAAGGCTGTTTCACAAAAAGATCAAACCAGATTTCAAATAAATACAGTAATCTGATTAAATAATTAGAATTTAATATTTTAGTGATTGGTCATAACGGTTCCTGTTAATGTTTTAATCTCTCGGTTGTCATGTATATTTATGTGTATTTTAAACGACTAAATCTTGTATTACAGGGCACTATTAAAGGTGTTGAACCTGATACATTCAACGCTGAAAAACCAGCAGAACGACTTAGAACCGCCATGAAAAAATTAGGTAGGTTTGACTCAGAATGTGAATAGTTATTTAATTTACTCTTAAACAGATACAATAGAGCACAAAATCAGTATCTTCTTATAGATACAAAAAACTTTGATAATTCCTCACGACGTTTCGACAGATTTCAGTGATGTATATCAAACACTGAGAGGATGATTCCTACATTAGTTCATTACAATTTCAAATTATACAGCTCTAGAGTCATAAGACAGCGCCCTTACAAACTTAGAATCATATGTGATATGATGACTCTAGGGTGGTAAGAGTATGTGACCTAATGACTCTAGGGTGGTAAGAATGTGCGATCTAATGACTCTAGGATGGTAAGGGTATATAAGTGATCTAATGTATCTAGGGTGGTAAGGGTATGTGATCTTATGACCCTAGGGTGGTAAGGGTATATGATCTAATGGTCTAGGTGGTAAGGTTATTTGATCTTTTGACTCTAGGGGGTAAGGGTATGTGATCTAATGACTCTAGGGTGGTAAGGGTATAAGAGCTTATAACTATATACTACTGTATAATTCTGTGGGCTTAATCTTTATAATTTTACTATGAACAGGTACAGACGAGTCTGAGATTATCAAGGTCCTGTGTGAACACAACAACTATCAGAGACAGCTGATTAAAACAATGTATAAAACTATGTATGGTAGAGTGAGTATATCCCGTCTTTTTTATTTCTCCTATTCTCAGTGTCGCTTCTAGGAATGATTTGGTAGGGGCTACAAAATAGTGGCAGATTGCGAAAACGTCGTCCTCTTTACTTCTTGTCACCTTAGTGGCGTTTCAAGGATTCATTGGAGGGTG